ACAAAAGGTTTCTCAATAAACAAACACTTATAACAATGTTATGATAGCATTCATATGGCCTTTTCGGCCACCAGTGCAGTCAAATTTGTTGCTAAATGTTTTCTGTATAGTTTGGAAAGTTTTTGTCTGGTTTTCTTTCCAGTGTTGTTTGGTCTGCACGTGCAGGAATATGTGTGCCAGGTTGCCTGTGTGTAGGAAACGGCTACTTGAGCTGATGCACACTCTTGAGAAACACACAAACATTTGCACACACGCACACACAAACAATTTTAGACTAGTGAGGATTACACTCATTGTGTGTGTGTGTTGTGTGTGTATATTTGTGTGTTCTATGAGTGTTCATGTTACGTGCACAAGCCCCATTGTGGTTATGCTTCCAGATTACATTGAGGGAAAGGAACCAGGTCAAGCTTGGAGTGAATAGAAACTTCGGAGAGAGGGAGGTAGAGAAAGAAAGAGAGAGGTGGACAGAGAGAGAGACTATTTCCAGATGTGTCTTACAGAGGGAGAGAACAGATAAGTAGGGAGGGGAAGAGAAGGAGAGGAGAAAAGAGGGAGGGAGTGCGCTTGTTGGTCAAAACACAGCTGTCTGGCTTTCTAGACTTACAGGAACTTTGCAACAACAAGGAAAATCCTTATAGTATCCTTATAGAAACACTTCCTTACAGGAACTTAATACAGTTATACTCCAACAGCATTTAGTTATTTACATTTGGTGGATTGCATCATGGGCTAAAACTCGACAAAACATACATTAGTGGTTTGTATTGGCACATCAACAAAATTGTGTGTGTGTGTCCTATTACAGGACACGCACACACACACACACGCACACACACACCAGTTAGCAGTGCTGCACCATGTGTATGTCAGATGAGGTAGACAAATGCAGACAGACATAAGTTATTCTCATTACTAGAGCCATGAGTGTGTGTGCAGTGTGTGTGCAGTGTGTGTGCAGTGTGTGTGCAGTGTGTGTGCAGTGTGTGTGCAGTGTGTATGCAGTGTGTATGTGTGAGGTCCTGTCTTCTCGTCTTCCCATCTCATCCCCCTCTTTTTAGTCCCCGCAGAGCGGAGAGAAGTGCCTAAACTTCAAGCCTCCACTTGTAACCCCCCCTGGGAAGTCTATGACTAAGTGTGTGTGTGAAACCTTCCTGGAATAGGCCACAATAACCCCCAGAATGTTCTCACAGCGGCACAACTTTGTCTTAGTACCACACACACACACACACACACACACACACACACACACACACACACACAAAAGTCCTCATTCCCTTTAGTTAACGTCCCTGTCCCCCTTACCTCTCCCTCTCCCTTTCTTTCTCTCCCTTTCTCTCTCCCTTTCTCTCTCCCTTTCGGTCCGCCCTCTTTCCTTTTCAGCCTCTGTCAAACCCCCTATCTCTACCCCTCTCGATGGCGGCAGGCTGAGACGGCCTGTGGAGCGCCAGTGGAATTTCTGTCTGTAAATAATTATAATAATGAGAGGAACCACACAAAAGAGATGGATAATGTCGAAGTAATCCAAACGCTTTCAGGGTTGTCACTTTGTTGTAGTTACTATAGTTACTAAAGAAAGTCAGTTGGTCATTGTGAATAATGTTCTGTGTGCAAATGTGTGTGTCTGTGGTGCCAATTCCAAGCTAACTGTAGGGTCCACTGGATCCTGTTGATTGACAACCCGTTCTTCATGTGCCTTTTCATCGCCTGCAGTGTGTGTCCGTGTGTGAGTGTGTCCCCGTGTGTGTGTGTGTCTGTGTATGTGCAGGATCTCCCTTCTGTTGTCATAGCAACATCCTAAACAGACCATACATGTATCTGTATGTAACTGTAACCAGCTGTAGCTATATCCTCACTGCATACATCCTATATTGAAAGCAGTTGAAGCTCTTGACATACACACACTCACATATACTGTACTCACACACAGTCAGGGGAAGATCTGACTGACTGTAGGCACGTAAGGTACTTCAGACACACACACACACACACACACACACACACACACACCTGTCTACTGAGCTAGGAAAGTCCCCTGATGGTTATATCCTGCAGTCATACTGTAGTTTGAGTGGGATACTGCTGTGTGTGTGTGTGTGTACTGTGTGGTGTGTGGTGTGTGTGTGTGTGTGTGTGTGTGTACTGTGTGGTGTGTGTGTGTGTGTGTACTGTGTGGTGTGTGGTGTGTGTGGTGTGTGGTGTGTGGTGTGTGGTGTGTGTGTGTGTGTGTGTGTGTGTGTGTGTGTGTGTGTGTGTGTGTGTGTGTGTGTGTTAGACAGGAGGTTGGGGTTGAGGGGATAATAATACCGCCCAATACAGAGCACTGGGTAATAACCTCTAACAGCTAACCCACGTGGTTATGGAGACAAGGGATGTTTTATGACCCTACTGTCGCCCCAAGGGCAGACACTGGAATTTGGAACTTAGGAACCCCCGTAAACATGCCAACATGGAACGATTCATCTACTGTGGAGTGTGGACAGCCAGCAACAGAAAATAGGAAATACGTTTAATAGCAGGCAGATAGCTGCTTTTCAGAACACACAAACATTCTCTGTCACACACACACACACGTTTTTTTCTTCTATCCTCATGGGGACCTAAAATGTATTTCCATTCAAAATCCTATTTTCCCTAACCTTAACCGTAACCCTAAACCTAAACCTAACCACTAACCTCAAACCTGATTCTAACACTAACATTAATTCCACCCTAAACCTAACCCTAGCCCCTAAGCTTAAAATAGCCCTTGTCCTCATGGGGACATGGGAAATGTCCCCACGAGGTGGAATTTTCCTTGTTTTACTATCCTTGTGGGGCCTTTGAGGGATTTTAAGTCCCCACAAGGCTAGAAGAACAAGACCACAGACACACACACACACACACACACACACACACACACACACACACACACACACACACACCACACACACTGGAGTTGACAACCCTAACTCTCTGTGGAGTCAAGGTTATCTGGTGTGTGTTGGGTGACATGCCAGTACAGCCAGACAGGCCAGGGCCGGGACCAGACTACAGGGCAGATAGATAGACAGACATGGAGGCCAGGGCCGGGGCCAGACAACAGGGCTGATAGTAAGACAGACAGACAGACAGACAGACAGACAGACAGACAGACAGACAGACAGACAGACAGACAGACAGACAGACAGACAGACAGACAGACAGACAGACAGACAGACAGGCAGGCAGGCAGGCAGGCAGGCAGGCAGGCAGGCAGGCAGGCAGGTCAGGGCTGGGACCAGACAACAGGGCTAATAGATAGACAGACAGGCCAGGGAGGCAAGCAGGCAAAACAACACCAATGAAGTATCTGTCTCCGCTGTCCTTGAGCGATTACATTCCCTCACCCTGCCAAACACTTCTGTGTTTTCTTCTTATCCCCCTCATGTGGAAGAGGCGCTCTCTATTTCTCTCCCTCTCTTGCTGTCTCTCTCTTTTTTCTTGAAGTCATTTTACAATGGTGCTGTATATCATTATTTGAGTATACTTTGTATAGTCTGTTTATCAACATGTCTGTAAACATTTGTTGTATCGACATCATGAAGATTCTATTGTCGTCCGACATCAAACTTGTCGTTGTCGTTATGAAGAAGTATCAACACAAAACGACAGCCTCTGCATGAAATCAGCAACCCAGTGCTCCAAATAGCATACTTTCTATATTTTAACACCAATAAACCCATTTGTTAAAAAATGTATTCGGTAAATGTCAACCTAGCAGCAAGCCAGGCAACTAAAAGCAATTTTCTAAACAAAGTTTTGGTTCATTGCTAGCTAGTTAGCTAGCCTGTTCAAATCATGACCAGATTTTATTCATTATCACAGGAAAATAAACCCACATCAACATTATTGTTTGCAAGGTAATGGCGAGCTTACAGAAAATAACATATTGCCACAGTGTGATGAAATAAAAGTAGTTAGTTCTATCAGAATTGTAGGAGGATTTGGTCTGGTTGCTGTGGCAGTCCGGTAACCGCGACAATGGATGTTGTGACAATCGCAGAGACTTAAACTTTTCATGTCTATGCGACAAGAAAACTGACAGTCGCAGCGATGGTCTACAGACATTCCACCGGAGTATAAATTAAATGACGTTGTCACATTCTAATTGTCTACAGACATGTCGTTAGACCAAGTATAAACTGGCCTTAACATATCAAATTCTCCCAATCAAAGTCTTGAATGAAGACTATGGTTAGTTTATTAGTAGAATTATTACTGCTTGGCTAGAACAAAAGCCTGCTCCATACAGGGTAAGATTGCCCATCTTTGCTTTAGCATGTGAGTTAAGTATGTATATTCTGACCCATATAATAGCTCAACGAGCGTATCAGTCATGAGACTGACTGTTTATATAGTCGTAGACACCACAGCAGGATAACATCTGCTCTAAGATCAGCCCCTTGGCTGACACTGATACTGCATGTGCAACACAGCACAAGCTCACGTTTGGGTAAATATTTATACAACATGTTTTATGAAATCTAATATTTTCCAGACAAGTTTTAGTCCGGCTCAAAACTTCCTCAACACGACCCAGAAAGGGAACGCCGGCTGTCTGCCTTCAACTTCAGACTGTTGACCCATCCGCTTGCGTGGGTGTCCCATATCCGTGGTTTAATGAAATTGGATAGTTGAATAGAGAGTCTTGGCAGTGGCTTTCAACATTGTGATCAAAACTGTCCATTGTGAAAAGAGACAAAGGCACAGTCAATCAATGCAACCTCCGATAAATGCAATCATCAATTTATTTTTAATTCCAAACATTTTTTAAACAAGTTCAGTGAAACAAGTTCAGTGCTGAAAAGCCTAAAGCAATAGCAGTTACTTTAACAACTGAACTCTTTTTATATATCGTCACAATATCACCCAGTGTGGCAGCAGGCAGTCAGAATGTCCATTCTCTACAGCACAGCTGTTCAGTCCTCACTCTGTTTACGTCCGTCCGCTTCTGCTATCAGGCCTTATCCACTTCCTGTATGCCATCCGATAAGAAGGCCATGCTCTGTGCTGTGCCCTGTGCAGTGCCCTGTGCTGTGCCCTGTGCTGTGCCCTGTGCTGGTGAGGCGAGCAGCTGGCTGAGGAACCAAAAACTACAGGGAACAGCTCGTGGCATAACATCGAGTCGAGTGCCAGAATAGTTTTTGGCCCGAGACTAAGTGGCTAGTTCAATTGTGAGAGGTATTGAGTTGGACTCTGATAGAAAAATAACCCATATTGAACAAGTGGGTCACAGGATGGTGGAGTGAGTATTGTTTGGCCAGAGTGATATGGGTGTTAGCGCAACAAGTCAACAGACGGAGAGAGACCAAAGGCGTTGTGATGTGGTCTGTCACTGGAAGTTGTTATAGCCTAGACCAGAGGCAAATAAAATCACTTCCTTCTAAAACTGTCATGCAATAATACCAATAACATGTGGCGAGGAATACTGTATTACACAGCAATAGTCTAATCAATGGTTATATGTACTGTATTACACAGCAATAGTCTATTAATCAATGGTTATATGTGCTTTATCGTTCAATGTGTAACTAACAAAAAAGCCAGCTCCAATCTTTTAGTGAAATAGTTAAATTAGTATGGACCAGGCTTCATTTGGTTTTCACATGTGTGTCATAGCCCCTGGAAGTAAAACAAAAAAGACTGAGTATCTAACCCTCTCAATCTCTCTCTCTTTCCCTCTGTCTTCCAGAATGCGACCCAGGAGATAGGTGAGGAGGTGGAGGACGGGGCGGTGTACACCATCACCCTGCGGAAGGTTCAGATGCTCCACCACCACCACCACCACCACCACCACCTCCACCCTGGCCACCACAGTGGCGGCAGCGGGGCCAGTAAGGGCCAGCGCTGGCTGGGTGTAGAGACGGATGCGGCCCTCAGCCTGTACGAGACGTGCAAGGTGCGCACCATCAAGGCAGGCACGCTGGAGAAGCTGGTGGAGTACATGGTCCGGGGCAACGACTCCACCTACGTCACCATCTTCCTCTGCACCTACCGCTCCTTCACCTCCACCAAGCAGGTCCTGGACCTACTGCTCAACAGGTGAGTAGAGGGAGGGTGGAGAGACAGAGGGTGGGATACAGTGGTGCATAAATAGATGGATAGATGGATGAATTTACAGATGAATGGATGGATCCATCGGTTGATTGGTGGAAGAATTATAGATGGATGGAAAAGCTGGGTGGATGGAGATACACATAAATGACAGGATGAATGGAGGGTGTGGACGAGAGGATGGATGGATGGATGGATGGATGGATGACTAACAAACTGATGAATCTGTGTTCAGGTATGCCAAGCTCCAGCTTGGATCAGAGGGCCACAGACTGACTCATGACGATCGTACGGAACTGAGGAAGTAAGTCTCTGTCTGACTCTGACACACATTGTGGACAATACATCTTACTCAAATAGCCTATGTTCAACACATACTGTACAGCGACAGAAGATAGTGCACTGTTTGCTTCATTTTCACATTTTGTTGCCTGGAATTTGTATTGCTTGCCTTATACCTATGACATTCTTCTGAGACAAGAAAGGAGGACACTTCATAAGTCGTGAGATCCGCCCTACAAACGTGTACCCCTTTTTTTTTCTCCATACAACCAGTGCTATCCTGCTGGCGTAAGCAGTTCTACCATTGGGGACATTGGATATGTTTCTAATGTGTTCATATGGGTGTTGTATCGCGTTACAAAGTTCGTCATCATTGTCCTATATTTTGTGACCCATATCCTCAGGGCAAAAATATGTTAATATATCTCTCTTTCCTGTTATGTATCTCTTTCCTATCCTTCTCTGGCTTCACGGTAGATAGTCCCTTTGTTTTTCCTCTCTTCTTTATTTCCCCTTTGACCTTCCTAATCCTGTACTTGATACACCCCTTTCTCTAAACTACGAATTTCCTAGGGAAGGACAATCGGGGGGGAGAATGCACCAGAGGGGGAAGGGGGAAGAAAGGAAAAAAAACACGGGATGGAGAGGCGAGAGAGAGAAGAGGGAGAGAGAGAGGAGAGAGAGAGGAGGAGAGAGAGAGAGAGAGAGAGAGAGAGAGAGAGAGAGAGAAGAGAGAGAGAGAGAGAGAGAGAGGAGAGAAGGAGAGGAGAGAGAGAAGCAGAGAGAGAGAGAGAGAGAGAGAGAGAGAGAGAGAGAAGAGAGAGAGAGAGAGAGAGAGAGAGAGAGAGAGCTCGCATAGAGAGAGAGGGCTCTAGAAGGCTCTCTCTCTCTCTCTCTCTCTTCTCTCTTCTTCTCTCTCTCTCTGATCTCTCTACCGCCTCTTCTCTCCTCTCTCCTCTCTCTCTTCTTCCCTCAGCAAATATCCTCCCATCTTGGGGGCTTGGCTGGACCAGTATTCTGAGGACTTCTGGAAGCCTCCGGAGTACAGCTGCCTGCGACGGCTAATCTCCTACCTGCACCTCAACTTCCCGGGATCGGACCTGGAACGCCGCGCCTGCAACCTCCTTGCCCACTTCCACCGCCGACAGCTCCAGGAGCCCGAGCATGAGTGTAAGATGACCGGCCAACTCCCAGCTGAACTTTTGACCTTTGACCCTGACCCCGGCTCCTCAACATGATCATGGAGAGTCCATAGAATTAGTATTAGTGGAAGGCCTCAGATGTTTCCAGTGGTACACCAAATCAGAGAAGACTTTTGTTAGTCAATCCCTTAGGGAAAGTGTTACAGACAACTGAGACCTTGTTGGGTGTGTGTGTGTGTGTGTGTGTGTGTGTGTGTGTGTGTGTGTGTGTGTGTGTGTGTGTGTGTGTGTGAGATGTGGTCGTGGGTGTCAGGAAGCAAAGTAGGACCAACACAGTCAGATGCTCTAGTCTAGTCCAACACATACCTGTATTGGCTTACAATACTTCGATCCAAATCTTCCACGAAAGGAGTGTGTGGGCCCTCACTTCCCTACATTAAGGAGTTTACTAAACCCAGCCGCTCATCAAAAGTGATGAAAGTGTGTTTCATGTCATTTTGCTAATGAGTGGTGATGTTATCCCTCAGTGTTGGACCATGGCGGCTATCCTTTCACCCTACTGGAGGAGAATGGCTACGAGGATGAGCAGCTGGACTTCCTGAACTTTGACCCGGCAGTGGTGGCTGAGCAGTTCACCCTCATGGACGCGGTAGGATGCCAAAATATCACAAAACTTAGAAAACTTTAGTCCCAACTGCACATATCTGTGGACTAACAACATATAGCAACATATCCTTATACAAAATGAACTCTGTCTTTGTTTGAGTTTTCTATGAAATTGGGTCTATTATTTTCCATCATTATTTTCCATCGTGGCGCTTTATTGTTTTCGCAAAGTTCATGTGTATTTTTCCATACCAGCGAGGCTCCTTGGATTTGATCGAAAATGAAAAATTAAACGCTATGACTCTGTCCTGTTGCGAGCGTTGGAGCCAAGGGGCTTCCTTGGCCGGTCTTCAGGGGCTGTTAGGCCCACTCCACTGTTGAGTTACCGCTCATAAACAAATGTCACTCCAAAAGCTTTCCTACCGATGTTTATTAGGAGACTGGAGTGCAGCAGGCAATTTTATCAGCCGTCCTGAAAGCCTTCTGAAGGATCTGCCTGTCTCTGATTTCTCTCTCTCTCTTCTGCATAGGAGTGAAAACATGTTAAACTCATCCAAAATACATCACTGGTTGCAGCAAGAAACCAAGCCTCCATTTTGTTTATTGTCTTCCTCTAAACCCCCTCTTCCTTACTCCCCTTTTTCCTCATAGGAGCTCTTTAAGAAGGTGGTCCCCTACCACTGTCTGGGGAGTATCTGGTCGCAGCGGGACAAGAAGGGCAAGGAACACCTGGCACCCACCATCCGTGCCACCGTCACCCAGTTCAACTGCGTCACCAACTGTGTCATCGCCACATGCCTGAGCGAGCGCTCGCTCAAACCTACGCAGCGCGCCAAGCTGGTGGAGCGCTGGATCGAAGTGGCCAGGGTGAGACACTGTTGTTAGCAGGAGTTGTTGTTGGCGTGGGACACATTTACATTTTAGTCATTTAGCAGACGCTCTTATCCAGAGCGACTTACAGTAGTGAGTGCATACATTTTCATACTTCTTTTCATACTGGTCCCCCGTGGGAATCGAACCCACAACCCTGGCATTGCAAGCGCCTTGCTCAACCAACTGAGCTACACGGGTAGAGCATGGTGTCCTTCTGCTTCAGTCCTGCAGAGGCACAGATTGTGTTGTGTAGCATGATGACTACAGTACCTGTAATGCTCTGTTCCAAGGAGTTGGTCTTATTTGAGTAAAAACGTTCTGAAGATAATCTAGTGGTGTTCAGTCTCCTTACCAATACATTGGATTGATTTGCCCCTGGTGCTGAATTAAGTCCATTGATATTCATCTGAATATTTACTGTATTTTTTCTCTTCAGGAGTGTCGAATCCTGAAGAACTTTTCTTCACTTCGGGCTATCCTCTCTGCTCTGCAGTGCAACCCGGTCCACCGGCTGAAGAGGACATGGGACGAGGTGTCCAGGGAGAACTTCCGCATCTTCCACGAGTTGTCAGAAATCTTCTCTGACGAGAATAACCATTCGCTCAGCAGGGAGCTGCTCATTAAGGTAGGTTGTGTGTGTGTGTGTGTGTGTGTGTGTGTGTGTGTGTGTGTGTGTGTGTGTGTGTGGTGTGTGTGTGTGTGTGTGTGTGTGTGTGTGTGTGTGTGTGTGTGTGTGTGTGTGTGTGTGTGTGTGTGTGTGTGTGTGTGTGTGTGTGTGTGTGTGTGTGTGTGTGTGTGTGTGTGTGTGTGTGTGTGTGTGTGTGTGTGTGTGTGAGAGAGTGCAGGAGTACTCCTAGAGTGGTGTGACCACACACAAGGGAACCCCTATCACTCCACTGCCTGAAATCAGAGGACTACTATAATCAGAGCAGTGTGTGTATATATTTTTTTGCTAATGCTTTATTGATTCTGCCCCCCCAAACACATATACGCGCACACACACACACACACACACACACACTGCTCTGATTACAGTAGTGCTCTGATTTCAGGCAGGTAGTTTGAGTGATAGGGTTTCCCGTGTATTGTTTCACACCACTCTAGGAGTACTCCTGCTCTCACATTGACGGTGTCATCACCGGTATGAGGTGTCTGCCACCCCCAAACACCCGAAAGCCCAACACATAAAAACACAAAGTGAAAAACAAAGTATGGAATTTTGTCGTCAGGAGTTTCCTATCTTAGGATATCCTGGTGTATTGTTCACCCACCTATGAGTTCTTACCTAACAAGTGTAATCACCGGACATATGACAGGTTGTACACCAATACCCATTATGCAAGTTTTAGAGAATCGAAAGTATTCAACAATAAAAAACCAAAGTAGAAAACAAAGAGGAATGTACAGAACAGGATTTTATCAGCAAACTTTAGAAAGGATCAGAAAAGTTACAAACAAGTAATGCACAGGAACCATTGGAACAGAAACCAAAAAAGTTACAGAACAGAACAGTACAAACAGTATAGAACAGAACAGTATAGAACAGAACAGAACAGTACAAAACAGTATAGAACAGAACCAGTATAGAACAGAACAGAAAAGTACAGAACAGAATAGTACAGTAGACAGAACAGTACAGAACAGTATAAAACAGAACAGTATAAAACAGAACAGTATAATGGTAATCTGGTTGTTCTGGTGGTTGGTCTTGACTTGGGCATGGGGGTGTGAGACTGTGCAGGTGTTAGGTAGGGGGGGATAGCAACTAAACCCACTTACGTACACACAGACCTCAAACCCTGACATTCCCCAAATTCCAGAACACACACACACATACGTCAGGGCATCTAGAGGTTGGCCGTTATGTATGTTTGGAGGGAGGAATCCCCCTGTGACATCATAGCATGGTGGTAGGCTGTGCAAGTTGGGAATATCCCTCCCCTGCCTGATACTCTCCAGTAGAATGTGGGAGAGTGTATGTTCACCATTTCATAGCTTGATAAATGATAAGGAAATTGTTTATTATTTCATTTCATTTAACAGAAGCCAGTGTTATTTGATTGCTGAAATAGGGGCTTAGGCTTCAGATCTCAATGTTTATGTTGTCCATTATTCTTTCTGTCTAGGAGGGCACGTCCAAATTTGCCACCCTGGAAATAAACCCCAAACGAGCCCAGAAGAGACAGCAGCAACCCCGAGACCTGGTAAGGGATGCAAGAAAGGAGGGAGGGAGAGAGGGAGGGTAAGATGGAGTGGGCTTAGAGAGAGATAAAAGACTAGAAAGATTGAAGAGGAAGAAAATGGAGGATGACATGAAAAGCAGAGAGAGAGATGAAATGTCCTGGTAGACAGAGGATGAGAGAGTAAAAGGGGAGGTCGAAAAATGAAGGCAGAGTGAGAGCCAGAGAGCCTTACCAGAGCGACTTACAGTTAGTACATTCATCTTAAGTTAATTAGTTAGTTAGGTGAGGGAGAGATAGAGATAGAGGGAAAGAGAGTGAGGGATAGAGGGAGAGACAGAGAGGGAAAAATATATAAATTAAATAAAGAGGGAACGAGAGGTGACAGATGTAGTCAAAGCACTCCCATCTTGGCCATATAGATTAGACAGGCGTGAGTAATTGGGTTTTTAAGCCGTGTCAGGAAGTGTTCCAGCGGGCTAGACGCCATAGAATAGAAAACAAGCGGCCCCTCTGTCCTCACTGAACTCTGCTGACACGCTCACTCAAACACACACGCACTCACACACACGCTCCTATTGCCATGTTTGCTGGTTCGAATCCCCGAGCCAATTAGGTGAAAAATCTGCCGATGTGCCCTTCAAGAAGGTACTTAACCGTAATTGCTCCTGTAAGTCGCTCTGGATAGGAGCGTCTGCTAAATGACTAAAATGTCAAATGTACATTTTACGGATCAATGCTCAATGCCTTTGAAATGGACCCACTTTGTAGCAAATGGCTGTCATGGATGGCTCTCATGAAAATAGCTTACAGGAACAGTATTTTGATGTTCAAATTAAGGGGATTCATTTCATTGTTCTCTCTGTGGTGGATAGAATTCGAACGAACAAGAAGGGACACACCGCCCTCTAGTGGTTGTTTGGGGAATCAATCTGATTTGCAAAATACTCACAGCTCACTCTAGTGGTGATATGCAACTTTACAGTTACATTTTACTGTAATTACAATGTAATCATATGATAATTGCGCATTTATTAAACTGGGAACAACAGCCAGATGTATATAGCTCATTTACATAAGCAGTGTACACAGAGGGAGATGAAGAGATTATGTAATTATTGATTTCCATCTACATTTGTCATCAAGGGGAAAAAAGTATGTTATGCGTTATTTAATCACTAGCAAAGTCATGCATGCACATGTACACACACACACACACACAACACACACATAACATCGACGAGCTAACCACCTCCGTCACCGGCTTCATTAGAAAATGCATCAGCGACGTTGTACCCACAGTGAGGGTTCGCTGCTTCCCCAATCAAAAGCCCTGGATTAACACAGAGGTTGGCGCTAAACTAAAGAGCAGGGCTACCACACACCGGGCTATCGTAGACAACCCTGATGCTACGGCCGAGGACAGGAACAAGTACAAGAAGGCCCGCTATGACCTCTGTAGAGTCATCAAACCAGCAAAATGACAACATAGGAATATGGTGGAATCATATTACACAGGCTCCAACGCCCACCGCATGTGGCAGGGGCTACAGTCCATTACAGATTACAAAGGAAGAGCCAGTGATCTGTCCAACGATGCCTCTCTACCAGACGAACTCAATGCATTTTATGCACGCTTCGACAACAACATGGAGCCGGGTGTGAGTGCCGTCACCTACCCAGATGACTGGGTGATCTCGCTCTCCGAGGCCGACGTGAGAAGGGTCTTTAATCAGGTCAACACACTCAAAGCCGCGGGCCCTGACGGTATTCCGTGGCGCATTATCAGAGCATGCACAGAACAGCTGGCAGACATATTCATGGTCATTTTCAACCTCTCCTTGTCCCAGTCTGTAATCCACACATGTTTTAAGATGACCACAATCATTCCTGTTCCTAAGAACTCGGAAGGCTTCATCCCACAATGACTACCGCCCTGTAGCACTCTCTTCTGTAATCATGAAGTGCTTTGAGAGGCTGGTTATGGCACACATTCACTCCACCATCCCAGACACCCTAGACCCACTTCAATTTGCATACCGCCCCAACAGATCCATAGATGACGCAACCTCAATTGCACCCCACACTGCCCTCACCCACCTAGATGAGAGGAATAACTATGAGAATGGTTTTCATTGACAACAGCTCAGCATTTAACACCATTATCCCCTCCAAGCTCGTCACCAAGCTTAGGACTCTGGGTCTGAACACCTCCCTCTGCAACTGGATCCTGGACTTCCTGACGGGCTGACCCCAGGTGGTGAGGGTAGGAAACATCACCTCCGCCACGCTGACCCTTAACACAGGGGTCCCACAGGGGTGTGTGCTTAGTTCCCTCCTGTACTCCCTGTTCACCCACGACTGCGTGGCCATTTCACGACTCCAACACCATTATCAAGTTTGCTGACGACACGACGTGGTAGGCCTGATCACCAGCGACGATGAGTCAGCCTACAGGGAGGAGGTCAGTGACCTGGCAGTATCGTGCCGGAGCAACAACCTCTCCCTCAACATCAGCAAGTCCACAGAGCTAGTCGTGGTCTACAGGAAACGGGGAGGTGAGAACGCCCCCATCCACATCGACGGGGCGGCAGTGGAGCAGGTAGACAGCTTCAAGTTCCCTGGTGTCCAAATCACTAAAGACTTAAAATGGTTCAAACATACACGCACAGTCTTGAAGAAGGCGCGACAGTGCCTCATCCCCCTCAGGAGGTTGAAAAAGTTTGGCATGGGGCCTCAAATCCTGAAAAGGTTCTACAGCTGTATCATTGAGAGCATATTGACTGGCTGCATCACTGCTTGGTATGACAATAGCACCACCCTCAATCGCACATTTATACTGACTCTACACACCCGCACACCCACTCACATGCAAGCTGCTGCTACTCTGTTTATCTTATATCTTGTTGCCCAGTCACCTTACTCCTATACATATCTACCTCCATCACTCCAGTATCCCTGCACATGTAAATATGGTATTGGAACTGACTTTTAAAATATTTCCTGTATATAGTATGCTTACTTACTTACTTTGTGTATTTCAGATTTCCTATTCTTATTTCCTGTGTGCTTTGTTTCTAGTAATACATTGTTAAGTGATTATTGCATTGTTGGGTTTTGAGTTTGCAAGAAAGGCATTTCACTGTACTTGCATGTGACATTGAAACTTGAAACTTGAAACACACACACACACACTAACCCCAGTCTCTGCCTGCCTGTTTGTTTATTTCAGAGTGTGATGCAGGGGACCATTCCTTACCTGGGCACTTTCCTTACAGACCTAGTCATGATGGATACTGCCATGAAGGACTACCTGGATGTGAGTGTCACACACCCAACACACACACACAAAAAATTCCCATTAAACCCAAAAACCCACAAAAACACAAACACAAATTAAAAATAAAAAACCCCCCCCAAAAAACCAAAAAAAAACATTCCCACTCAACCACCCACACCCCACACCCCCAAACCCCCATCACCACCCACCCCACCCCAAAAATTTTTCCCACAAACCTTTCCACTTTCCCCAACTCCCCAAAAACAAACACCCCCCCACCTTCCCACCACCCCAACAACACACACCCCCCCAAAAAACCCCACACCCCTCACACAAACACACAGGAACAACCCCTTTTTCCAAAAAAATTTTACACACAACCCAATTTTGTTCTAAAGAACTTTATAATTTTCGGGTTTACAGGGAGGGTTTGTTTAAAATTTTTGGGAAAAAGGAGGAAAAGGTGGGGAAATGCAAAATATGTATTTTAAAGTGTGGGATGTTTTAGGGTGGTTTAAAATGATGATGTGACTGCATAGTGATCATTTTCTTCCTCTTTTGGTTTTTAGGAGTTTGAGGGTGATTGCCCAGATCAAGCTTCTGCAGCTAGCTTGCAACAACTATAACTTCACCCGCAACAAGCGTTTCCGAGAGTGGTTCTCCGGTGTGGACAAACTCACAGAGGCGAGAGGTAAGAGAGGGAACAGAGAGTATTCTGTTACAAATACATGGGAAAAAAAGGGATTTTCACCCCTGCACCAAAAAATAGATTTTTGTGGGGTTGGGGGAGGAAAAAATAGGGAAATTTGAAAAAGAAGGGAGGGGGGGGAAAAGGGAGGGGTGAAGAGAGGGAGGGGAGGAGGGGATTTGAAAGGGGGGGGGGGGGGGGGGGGGGGGGAGGTTTGAGTAGAGAGGAGGAGGATAGAGGAGAGAGGATGAGGAAGAGAGGGGGAGGGTAGGATTTGAGGGGGATAGAGGAGAGAGGAAGAGGATAGGGAAAGGAGAGGAGAGGGGGATAGAGAGGGAGGGGGATAGAGGATAGAAGTAGGAGGAGGGGGGAGAGGTTTGAGAGGGAGGAGAGAGGATTTTGGGGAGGGGAAAAAAAAGGATAAGAGAGGAGAGGGTAGAGTATAGGAGGAGAGGAGAGAGGAGAGGATAGAGGGAGGGGGGGAGGGAGAGGAGAGAGGATGAGGAGAGGATTGAGGAGAGAGGAGAGAGGCGAGGAGAGGGGGATTTTGAGTATAGAGAGGGGGGAGAGGATAGAGAGGATAGAGGAGAGGTAGAGGGGGGGATAGAGGGAGGAGAGAGGATAGGGAAAAAGGGGGAGAGGAGAGGGATAGAGGAGAGGAAAAGGAGGGGATTTGGGAGGGATAGAGGAGATGAGAGAGGGGAGGGAGGGGAGGGAGAGAGGGAAAAGGGGTGGAGGAAAAGGAGAGGGGGAGGAGAGGATAGAGAGGGGTAAAAGAGGAGAGAGGGGAGAGGAGAGGAAGGGGGAGGGGGAGGATAAGGGAGGAGGGGAGGAGAGGAGAGGGGGAGGAGGAAAAGGGGGATAGGGGAGGGGGAAAAGGGAGGAAGGGGGAGGATAGAGGAGAGAGGAGGGGAGGGGGTAGAGGAGAGGAAAAGGGGAGGAAGGGGAAAAGGGGGTAGAGGAGAGGTAGAGGGAGGGGAGGGGGAGGGGGGGGGGATAGAGGAGAGGTAGAGGGGGGAAGGGGAGAGGAAAAGAGGGGGATAGAGGAGGGGAAAGGGGAGGAAAAAGGGGGGAAGGGGAGGGGGATAGGGGAGGGGAGGAAGAGGAGAGGAAGGGGATAAGGGGAAAAGGAGGGGGAAGGGGGGAGAAGGATTTGAGGGGGGGAAGGGAGAGGAAGGGAAGGGAGGGGGGTTGAGGGGGAGAGGGAGGAGGGGAGAGGGGGAGAGGGGAAAAGGGGAGGGGAAAAGAGGGATAGAGGGGAGAGGGGGGATTTGGGGAGAGGATGAGAGGGAAGAGGATGAGGAAAGGGGGGGATTTGAGGGGGAGAGGAGGGGAGGGAGGGGGAGGGGGGAAGAGGAGAGGGGAAAGGAGGTTTGAAAAGGTGAAGAGGAGGGAGGAAGGGGGGGGGGAGGGGATAGAGGGGGAGAGGGGGGGGAGGAAAGGAAGAGGAGCGGGAGAGGATAGAGGAGAGGATGAGGGGGAGGGGAAAAGGAGAGGGGGGAAGGGGGGGGAGGGGGGAAAAGGAAGAGGGGGGGGGGGATTTGGGAGGGGGAAGAGGGGAAGAGGGAGGGGAAAAGGGGAAAAGGGAGGGGGAAAAGGGAAAAGGGGGAGAGGAGAGGGGGAAGGGTTGAGGGGAGGGGGGAAAGAGGAGAAGGGGGGGGGAAGGGAAGGGAAAAGGAAGGGAGGGGGTGAGGAGAGGGGAAAAAAAGGGGATAGAAAAAGGAGGGGAAATTAAAAAAAGGGGGGGAAGGGTTTTTAAAAGGGGGAAAGAGGATTTTAGGGCAGAAGGAAAAAAGGAAAAAACCAGGAAAAAAGGGACGGGGAAGGAAAGAAAAAAAATATTGGGCAAAAGGAAAAAAAAATTTCCCAAATCTTTTTGTTTGGGTTGGTTTTCAAGTTTTTAAAACCCTTGTTAAAACCGGGCCCACGTGATAGCCAAAAAAAAGGGGAAGGGGGGCGAAACGGACACAAAGCGGAAGGGAGAAAGCAAGGGGGAAAAAAAAAGGGGAAAAAAAGAGAAAGAAGAAAGGGCAAAGAAAGGAGGAAAGAAGAGGGCCCCAAAAAAAGCCCCCCCGGCCCCCCCTTCCCGGAAAAGAAGGGGAAAAAAAAGAACGGGGCCCGGGGAAAAGGAGGGAGGGGGAAAAAGGGAAAGAGGGAAGGGAAAAAAGTGAGAGAGATAAAAGAGAGAAGGGAAAAGGAGGAGGGGAAAAGGAGAAACGAGAAACCCAAAAAAAGAAAGGAAGCCAAAGGGGGGAGAAAGGGGGGAAGGGGAAAAGGAGAAGGGGGAGAAAAAGGACGGGGAAAAAAAAGAAAGGGAAAAAGAAGGAAAAATAGAAGGTTTGGAAGGTTTAACAAGGGGGAGCGGGAAGGGGGAAAGAGAGAAGGATAAAAAAATCCCAAAGTAAAACAAATTAAAGCACTTATATCTTCTTTTTCTGGGCTTTCCCCATCTCCCTTTTCTTTTCCGTCTTCCCCCTTTTCCGTCTCACCCCCTCTCCCTTTCCCCTCTCTTTCCCCCCCTTCCCCCTTTTTTCCCTCTTGTTTCCCCCCCACCCACCCTTCTCAGTCTTTTCCCCCCCCTTTTCCTTTCCCCCTTCTTGTTTTTCCCCCCCCTTTGTCTTCCCTTTTCTCTTTCTTCCCTTTCTGTCCTCCCCTTTCGTCTCTCCCCCCTTTTCTTAAACCCTCCGGGATTCCCCTCTTTTGTTTTTCCCTTTCCGTCTCTCCCTCTCTCCGGGCTTCCCCTTTTCTGTCTCTCCCCTCTCTGTCTCTCCCTATTCTGTCTTCTCTCTCTCTGTCTCTCCCTCTCTCTGTCTTCTCCTTCTCAGTTTCTCCCTCCCGATCGTCCTCCTATCACGTCTTCCCCTCTCTCTGTTCTCTCCTCTCTCTCTGTCTCTCCCTCTCTCGTCTCTCCCTCCTCGCCGTCTCACCTATCTCCGTCTCTCCCTCTCTCCCTCTCTCTGCTCTCCCTCTCTCCGGTCTCTCCCTTCTCTGTATTCCCCCTCTCTCACGTCTATCCCTTCTCTGTCTCTCCCTCCTCTCGTCTCTCCTCTCTCTGTCTCTCCCCTCTCTGTCTCTCCCTCTCTCTGTCTCTCCCCTCTCTCTGTCTCTCCCTCTCTCTGTCTCTCCCCTCTCTCTGTCTCCCTCCCTCCGTCTCTCCCTCTCTCCCTCCCTCCCTCTCTCCGTCCCTCTCTCCCTCCCATTCCTTCCCTCCCTGTCCCAGTCGCCAGCCGGCCAGCTCGGAGCCAGGCTGCAGCAGTGCGGGTAGTTCCCACTCCAAGTCCTTTGACCAGCTGCGCTACGCCCCCTGCCTGGGGGGCTCGGGTGGAGGTGGAGGTGGAGGGGGTGACGGAGCGGACTCCCTGAGCGTCACCTCCGCTGGCTCCAGCAGCTCCGACGTGGAGGAGATCAATATCAGCTTAATCTCCGACTCGCCCGATGCCCACGAGCGAAAGGTGAGAGAGAGAGGAGATTTTCTATATATCTATTTATTTAACCTTCATTTATTTTTATTTTTATTTTACCTTTATTTATACAGGGAAGTCAATTAAGAATATATTCTTATTTACAATGACGACCTGTCAGAGGACAGGGATGTATTACTACGAGTGTGTTGACGTCTGTAAGCAGGAAGTTGTATGATGAGGATGTCATATCTCGGCGTCTTGCTTTAAAGACCATGATACCAGTATGATCACTAAAACCGTTCTACTGTCTTAGCACAGTTTAACTCTTCCATCCCACAAGAAACAGCTCATGTGAGGCCCACTGGTGACTGTAGCTCTTAATTCCTTTTCTGTAGACCTCCACGCCTTCCGTAAAACATTCCAATTCCACGTTAGGGAAGTGCGGCCCCTTGCCTGACCTGGCACCCACGGTACTCTTTACTACTTCTTGTACCATTTCTCTGTTTCACCTGCGCTAGCTTGTGGCGCAGCCATTTCACACTGCCATCAGAGGAGTGTGCTGTTTGCACTGTGTCTATCTGTGTGATGTCACCATTACATCACCCCTGTAGCCATTTTGTGTATGGGCGAGAACGTTGTGTGTGTGTGTTGATTTTATTTATGCATCTGCTCCGTTTCATCACCGCTGCTGCACCTTGAACTTTTAGTTTTGACTGGTTTCATTTGTTGTGTCTTTGGTGAAGAGTTCACCTTGTATCCATACCACTCAGTAGAAGTAGCATTTCACCTGGTTGCACATTCTTCTCTCCACATATTTCATTGTGTTTTCTACATTTGATGTGCATGTCATGTTAGTGGCAAGCACTCTTGGGGGTCCCATTTTAGTGTAAAACAAACGCAAGCCTCAATTTCAGTGTTCCCAAGTATTTGTCTAAATTCACTGGAATTCATTCAACAGTTTCCAGTCATGTTAAATGAACCTGTTTAAGATGCATTGCTTTCCTTGATTGCATCTCAATATTCTTAACTGGCACTGTGATCTAACCTGTGCTGTCCCCCTTCTCTCTCTGTTTCTCTCCAGTTCTGGGAGTCCACCTCTCTGTCCTCCCTGGACGCCTCTGGTCTGGGCTCTGGCTCGGGCTCCAGTAGCGCCTCCTCCTCCTCCATGTCCTCCACGCCCGTGGCGGGGGCCGGCTCCCGCTCGCACAAGCGCTCCGTTTCGGGCGTGTCCAGCTACTCGTCGCTGTCACTGCCCCTCTACAACCAGCAGGTTGATGACTGCTGCATCATCCGGGTCAGCCTGGATGTGGACAACGGCAACATGTACAAGAGCATCCTGGTGAGCTGCTGCGTTGGTGGTGATTACGATAGATTAGAAAGAGAATTTCCCTGCCAATGTGTTTCGTGGTTGTGAGGTCTGGTTGAGCCAAATGTCTTGATGTGGTCATCATATGATCTACAGGTGACCAGTCAGGACAAGACGCCGGCGGTGATCAGGAAGGCCATGGTGAAACACAACCTGGACCGGGAGAGATCGGAGGACTACGAACTGCTGCAGAAGATCTCTGAGGAGAAAGGTCAGTCAGCTGTCTGTCATGCTCACCTCAGGACTTACAGTAGAACCTGAAAGATACAAACCTCAGAGTTTATGCATTTTGAACTACATTTCACACTTACAAACATTTACGCTTTTCCTAACGCCCTCCATTCTGGACTTGTTCGTATCTCTGGTCACACTGTACTTTTTAGAAATACCTACACACGCCTTGTCTAACGATCTCTCATTCCATCTTCTCAACCAGATTTTGACATTCCCTCTTGCCTGTTGTTTCAATGTGCCTTTTAACCATACCAATGTTTATTTTGCAACCCCTTCCCTCCACAGAGCTGAAGATTCCGGACAATGCCAACGTTTTCTATGCCATGAACTCCTCGGCCAACTACGACTTTGTCCTGAAGAAACGCGGCTTCCCCAAGGTGGGCCGGACCAAGCACGTGGCCAGCTCCACCCTGCCGCGAATGAAGCAGAAAGGCCTGAAAATCGCCAAGGGCATCTTCTGAGGGGCAACGCCGTGTCATGCCCACCAGAAATCCTCGCCCACCTCCCCGCTTCCGGCTGGGCTCTCTGGGTGCCATCTTTGAGTGCCACCCCTGCTGTGCCATGGTAGAGGGGCCTGTTGCCAGCTCGGCCGTGTCCAGCGTCTGAGCGTCAAAGTCTCAGAGGACTAATAAAGCTGAATGGAATGGAAATCCCTATAGGCAAATGAACTTGCACTCGACTCCATTTTGCGAGGCAGGCAACTGCGCTTGTGGAAGAAGTGACTCTGTGTGGATGCTGTGTATGCTTACCCACATCTGACCCCTCTCCCAGGTGTTTCCTAATCAGGCTACAACCCATGTTCCAAGTTCTGGTCACTTCCTATGAGCCCACATTACTTCCTGGTAGCTTCACAGCTCTCTGTGGACGTCCTAATCGAGAGGGGAAAACCTGAGTAAAAATATATTTTTTTACACTCCTTTCCTTTCTAGACTACCAACAACTACATCTGTTTCTTCGACGTTCCGCGAACACGCGGACTGAGACAGATGGACAGATGCTTAGTACTGCCAGATAGCGGATGGAGACACGTTCCAACGAACCACTAAAAGGATTTTGGGTGAGAAAGGCCCCTACTGGATGGCTACATCTGGTTGTTGACCAATCATCAGAAACTTTACTCCTTTTAACTCCTCACTGCTAATGGGAACATGTCCAGTTTGTTAAACTAACACTATTCACACAAATAGGGCATTATTATTACTACAGACATTCAATAATAGCTCATTTTGTCACTACTTTGATACGGCGGTGCTCTGCATTTGTGCATTGCGTCTTATTTCTCCAAGTGGTGCTAACAGACAATGAAATGCTTACAGCCAGCCCGCTTCCCTCCCTCCCTCCCCTTTGATTTCATGCCTGATGTCTTCAGTTTCACACTAGAGTTTGAGAGAGAGGCTCTCTCCTGACAGCGAGGTCAACGTAAAACGAGTAGGAAGCCATGTGGGCTTAATGATGATGGTTCATGGAAATAGTGAGGCATCCAGCATCCAGCATCCATTTTGGTTCAGTATTTGTTTTAATGGGTGCATTTCTGGGAAGCCAAAAAAAGCCACGTGGCCAGTTATAGTACATTATGGTGACCTGAAATGCACAATGCCGGGCGGCCATTGCGGCTCAAACATGATGGCACTAAATGGCTTCTCCTCGATTGGCAATGCCTTAGAGAGCAGAACTGCCTACTTATGGGCCGGATGGCACAAAATGGCTGTTGTTGGCATGGTGACCACTCCCTCAGATCATCAGAAAATTAGCAGTTAGCTCCAAGCCATTTGATGGACCACATGTGTGCTAGACCCTCTTGTAAATTATTTGCAGACGGAGAGAAATGTATGTAAAAGGACACTGTGCTCCCTTTTAACTGTAAGTGTGTGTGTGGAAAGTACTCGAGCACTCAGAGAGAGAGCAAGAGAGACAGAAAAATGTATGTTGTATTGTGAAATGAACCGTGGTTTTTAAATGTCTAGTCTTTTTCTTCCCTGTAGTGTAAAGAAGAAGAAGAAACAATGAAAGGACTATCCCTCTTGTTTGCTCCTTCATTGAGGCCTTTCTTCCTTGTGTACCAGGGTTGAGGTCAACTTCATTTCAATTCAGTTAATTCAGGAGATAAATGAAAGAGAGGAAGAGAAAAGTAGAACCGAACTAAAACATAGTCAACTCCACGTGTGCCAAAGACCAGTGGACTATGATGAAGTATCAGGTAGTTTCGGGAGCATAGAGATTTGAAGTGAGGGAGTGAGTTTGCCTGCTGTTGAGAGACTCCTTGCTCAGACGTTGTGTGATTCTTTGTCTGTGACTATGATTGATGATAATGTGATGACGAGTCCTTGGTTTGTAGTACCCCATGTCTATCCAGTTCCTACAGTATTGCAGAACTTTGGATCAAACCTAATATCCCTATTTAACAGCAGCCATGACAGTGGTATTGTGGATTACAGTGTAAAACTCAAGCCTGTGCTCAAAGGGTTTTCTGAAACTAGTGACTTTTTGACTGTGACCATGTCACACTGAGTACAGTTACATGCACACAATAATACAATTATTGTGAATAGTCTGATTAATATAATAGTTTGATTAAAACGTTTACATGCTTTGCAAGAATAAATGATTTCCCTCATAATCCTGTTTACATGGACACATCTGAAATCAGGCTACCTGATGGGACTTTGATAAATGCAGAATATTGGCAATCAAAATTAACGTTCTACCATAGTGACCATGTATTTTTTGTAAAGCATATTTGATTCTGAATTCAGACATATAAAGTTTGTATGTGAAAACTATTTCTAAGATGCGTACTTTCAGCTTTTCCTAACTCATTTCACTCGCGCGAAAGAAGGAAGCTCGCGCTGCTCATGCTAGCACAGGCACAGATCAAATACAACGCTATATCTGATTAAGGCATTTACATGTCCTAATAATTTGAAAGATTGCTCAGAAAACCAGGTGTTTTAATCGGCGTATGCTTACTTCGAATATGACCTTATGCCGATTAAGATGAGCAGAGTGAGGTGTTTACATGACTAATGCCATACTCAGCCTTCTGCCATAATCAGTTTAATATCGAATTATTAATGTGCATGTAAACGTACTCACTGTGTCCTGTGCATGACAATAAACATTCTAATAGGGACATGGGATTTGGATCTCTATCAGAGGGCACATCTAAGATGGCTATTATTCACTTTTATAGCCTTTTTACACTATTGTGCTAACCTGAACCGTAGTGTGCTGGCTGGCTCTGATATTCTATTTTGACATGGTACGTAACCAGGCCAACGCAGTACAGCTTGGCTCAGCTGAGTACAGTAGTGTGAAAAGGGTATGTCAACTGCCATATAAATCCTATAACATGCCACAGCAATCGTCAGTCTACATTTCACAACAAACGCTTGATGTGCCTAACAGTAAAGCCATGGAAATGTTTTCATGTGCTATGATGATCGTGTTTCACATGTCAGTTATCATAAACATGTGTAGTCATAGTTATAGCATGTTAGTACTGCATTATTAATGCATTAAGGCAGTATAATATAAGTGAAGTGATTTCCATGCATTCAAGTGTGCTGGTTGGTGATAGTGTTGATAAGGACTCTGTATGTTTGTGAATGTTGGGGTCCGGTAGTCTCCTGCGCTTAAATGTGATTTGCTGGACTTCATATCAGTGGTGTTGATGGAAGTTGCCCCTAAGCCCTGATTCAAGGTCAGCTTCTATTTCTACATCCTTTTAACAAGGTTAGGATTTGTGTTGGGGAAGCTGAACCTGGATCTGTGGTTAAAGACTTCTGTGGTTGATCAATGAGTGAGGGATGGATCCTTCAACTGGAGATCCTTAAACTTTTGTGTAAATCAGACATTTGTGTCAATGGGAGATTTGCACTTAAGTTTCCAGTTAATGTCAGTAAGCGTTCATCCCGGAATGTGTGCTTATTTTTGCTCTAGATTTTTTGCTAATGTCTTTGTGCCCTTCCCAGCTACCCAGCATATCTACACTGAGTGTACACAACATTAGGAACACCTTCTTAATATTGAGATGCACCCCCCCTTTTGCCCTCAGAACAGCCTCAATTCGTCGGGGCATGGACTCTACAACGTGTTGAAAGCGTTCCACGGAATGCTGGCCCATGTTGACTCCAATGCTTCCTACAGTTGTTTCAAGTTGTCTGGATGTCCTTTTGGTGGTGGACCATTCTTTATACACACGGGAAACTGTTGAGCGTGAAAAACCCAGCAGCGTTGCAGTTTTTGACACACTCAAACCTGAGCACCTGGCACCTACTACCATACCCCGTTCAAAGGCACTTAAATATTTTGTCTTGCCCATTCACCCTCTGACTGGCACACATACCCAATCCATGTCTCAATTTTCTCAAGGCTTAAAAATCCTTCTTTAAACTGTCTCCTCCCCTTCATCTACACTAATTTGAAGTGGATTTAACAGGTGACATCAATAAGGGATCATAGCTTTCACCTGGATTCACAAGGTCAGTCTATGTCATGGAAAGAGCAGGTGTTCTTAATGTTTTGTACACTCAGTGTATATATCAGCGGTTGGAGAGGGGGATCTGACAAAAACATGTCAACATTTCAGGTTTCACAAATATGTGTGTACGTGAGAGAGAGAGACACACACACACACTCTCTTCTGTGTCTATGTATTGTAAATGAAGGGCCAAAGACTGCACCTCTCCACCGATCCCTCTAAATTAGTCCCTCTCAGAAACACCGCCTGATCAGGAATATGTCACCTTGCCTCACCCTCTCACAATGATCATCCTTAAAACCTTCGTGCCATCGCTCTCCGTCACTGTCAAAGGCTCTGAACTTTCTAACGATTACCTGTTCAATGTTTTTTCTATGTTCTTTTTGTATTTTTTGTATATTAAAAGACTCAATGTCCTTTGTACTTTAGATTATTTTTCTTCATTTTCCTCTGTTTTGTGTTTGCTGGCTTTATTTATTAACTTGTAAATACTTTTTTGTAGCATTGTACATTGTTTCTTTTCCCATGCAATTACAAATTAATATATATGTAAATATAAATATATATGCGAAGTTGATACCACTGTATTTGTGGATCAACTTGTCTCCATATCCCGTTGACTTTGGTTGCTTTACGCCAATCCTCTGTCGTTTTTGTATAATGGTCAGTTTTGATATTGCTTTCCCCCTTATTGCGTTGTTTGTAATGTTGGAGAAAAACCCACCTAATAAAAACTTACTGTGTGTCAAAACATTTGCATATGTCTTCACTGTACTACATGGTATAGTACTGACACCGCATTATTAGGATACCACACTGAAAAACCCTTTACTTGAATGGGTATAGATAGGCATTCACAACAGCTTTAGGAGGTTTCCTCAGGTCATGACACCATTGAGAGTAGCAGGATGGTTAATAAAAATCGTTATTTATTCAACACGGGGGGCCAGTATGAAAAATAAAAAAAGAAGGTATGCTCTCACTAACTGTAAGTCGCTCTGGATAAGAGCATCTGCTAAATGACTAAAATGTAAAATGTAAACATCTATGAAGTGACATTTTCAAAATAAAAGTCCCTTTCAACACAATGGAACAAAAGATACAGGTAACTGGCAAAATAAAGGAAACTATAGTAAATGAGGGATACAAAGTATATTGAAAGCAGGTGCTTCCACACAAAGTGTGGTTCCTGAGTTAATTAAGCAATCAGGGGCGCAACTTTCACTGGGGACATGTCCCCCCACATTCTGAAATTGCATTTTTGTCCCCCCCAGTTTTATCATTGGAATGTGATACAAAACAAGGCAACGGTGTGCTTTAGAACCATGTGGAGGCCTCCGAGTGGTCGGGTAGGCTGTTTGGAGTGTTCATCCGACTTTATGTCCCCCCCACTTCTAAAACCAAAGTTGCACCCCTGTAAGCAATTAACATCCCATAATGCTTAGGGTCATGTATAAAAGTGCCCAGTTGCCCATTATTTTGGCTACCATGGCTAGAAGAGATCTGTCACAGATTATCCATTATATTGACCAGATACTATTGTGGCCGCTCTAACAATGAAAATAAATGTATTCAAAAATGGAAGGCATTCGGGGGAGGCAAGATCAGGTGGGACCATTCTAGCCAATGAGAGGGGAGATACACGTGTGAACAAGAGGCACAACGGTTTCCACTAGTTAGCACAGTCACAAAGTCAAAATTGGCTATAGCCTAAAAATTTATGAAAACCAAAATGTGCTTTTTGATCTTAATTTAAGGTTAGGGTTAGGCATAAGGTTAGCAACAGGTTTAAAATCACATTTTAAGAAGATCAATTGTGAAATAGGCGGGATTTATGACTTTGTGGCTGTGTTAACTAGTGACGACCAGACAAAACGCCGATATAAAATGCCGGGACGTCACGTGTCCTACTTGTATCAGTACATTCCTAACAACCTAATCATTACAAACTTCTATTTGAGCAAATAAGCCATTCAATCTTTTGTTAACCAAATTCGAAACACTCATTGACCTCCATACAAAACCTCCTCGCTTGGTGAGCGAAAGAAACACCACCTGCTGGAGACAGATTTTGGGACCAGTAATCCCTCTCGCCTTGCCTCTTACTCTCTGTCTCATTGACTTTGAAAGAGGCGTCTAAAAGGAGCATAGGGGGTTTAAAGGGTGTGTGTGTGTCTCAGTCACCAGATCTCGAATTTCTCGTGGAAAATGGTGTCGCATCCCTCCAGTAGAGTTAGATACTTTTTTATGTGTACCTAATGCACTTGATGAAATAAAGCACTTTTTACAAACAGGACATATAGGATTTCTCCCCTGTGTGAGTCCTCATGTGAACTGTCAGAGAAGCGTGAGCCTAAACTTTTCTTTAAAAAAACTGCAATTAAGAGCTTTCTCCCCTGTGTGCCTCCTCATGTGCACTTTCATATCTGAGCCATGGCGGAAACATTTACCACAAACAGTACAGCTATGTGATTTCTCCCCTGTGTGAATCCTCACATGCTAAGTGATGTCTCCCCTGTGTGAATCCTCACATGCAACTCCATGTTTGCTTTCTGAATGAATCCTTTGCCACAGAAGCGACAGGGATAGGATTTCTCCCCTGTGTGGCTCTTGATGTGAACTTTTAGATTAGAACTACTGCTGAAACCTTTGCCACAATGAGGACATTGATGGGATTTCTCCCCTGTGTGGCTCCTGATATGTTTGCTCATATTAGAGCTGTTGCTGAAACATTTACCACAATTTGAGCATTTGAATGATTTTTCCCCTTTGTGAATCGCCATATGCATTATTAGTTCAGTCCTACAAACATGACAAGAAAACCTAGTATCAATATGAGTTTGGAGATTCTTGCATACTCTCTGTGGAATCAAAGCATTTTCCACACACACCACAAAGATGGTCTTCATCCGTCATATGCATTGTCATGTGACTAACTAAAGAAACAGAGCAGCAGGACTTTGACTTACACTACTAGGTGATTTCAGATGGGACAACTCCATGGATTTCCTACCCTCATTAGTACTGATGCAGGACCATTGTCCTTTTACGGTCTGTATTCCCATTGATCCAAGTGACTGAGGTCCTCTTTTCTCCCTCTGATCAGCATCACTATTTTCAATCTGAGCTGCAGAACAGTGTGGGTTAGCTGCAGAGAGGGGCCGGGAGTCACTGCTTGGGTCTGACACTCTAGTTCTCTTCATCAGTTTCTGTGTTAATCTGTTCATTTGAGGTGCAAGGAAGAGGGTCTCTCTGTCTGTTTTCTACACTTTGGGTTTGGTGAAGATCTGAGGACTGACTTGGGTACTGATCATTGTCACTTTTCACAAAGGCAGAAAATAATATGAAGTCTTCCTCCAGCCCTTGAAGCTGCTCTTCCCACTGACTGGTCCGGAGTTCCTGCTGTTCCTCTTTTACCTCCTGCCCCAGATTGGGGCTCCACTCCTTCTCACAGTGTTGCTGCTCAGGGGAAACCTCCTCTTCAGAGACAGGGAGGTGCTGGAGGTCTGGAGAAGGAACAAATATGGAATTGATTTTTTTTTAAAATGCTGACATGAGACTAGGTCTACAACTTGCTCCTGGTCACCAAACGGCTATTATAAAGCCTTTGTGTTCCCGTCTGCCCAATGTGTAAACAGATTCAACGCTCTCTCTTAATGTTAATAATCCTTGCTTGTGATACTGCTTTGGAATCCTTTGAAACCTTACTTTAATATTATCGAGAAAGAATGACAAATACAAAAGATACACATACTGTAAGCCATTTTAACACAGATTCCCACTGAGCTACGGCACTTATTGAGCTAATAGAAGCTGGGAAGGAAAAAAACCATCTTGGATCGAAGCTGTGTTACACAAAATACCATTGTGGGAATCTGTGTTAAAACAGCTTACAAGTGTACCTTTTGTAGGCTATTTGTACAATTCTCTCTTGATATTAAAATAGTTCCAAAAGGTGTCCAAAACCGTATTCACAAACAAGGATTATTAATGTTTTTAGACAGAGCGTCGGGTCTGTTTACATATTGGCCAGCCGCGGCGCACATAATTGTACTGTCTGGGTTGTTATCGGCTGCACAACCCGTTCAGGACACCTTTTCCCATGGACTAATGCTGCATTCATGACAAGTCGGAAACTCTGAACCTCCTAGTTAAAATGAAGGTAAGTTATTTGCGTACAACTTCCTATTGGTTAATTCTGATACTTTCCAAGTGGGAAACTTGGGTATCATCTTTCTACGAGTCGTGTATTTTAGCCACCCATCTCTGCTTTTCTGCTTCATAAAAATCTGAGGCCAGGAACTTCCTCCAGGTCATCTCTCTCTCCATTCCTTGGCCTTGGTACTTCGAAAATACTTTTGCAGGACAAGAAACATATTTGCCTGTCACTCCTGGGAACCGTGTGTGTATGTGAGGGCTGTTGGGGCCCTGTTTCAGCTCCAGATGACAAAACCTACACACATGTCCAGAGGGTTGCAGGTCTGCGGACTTCCTTTTGGTCTTCCACTGTGCAACACGTTTTTTTGTGGCCTCAAATTCATGCTGAAAGAATTCAGTCGAAGCAAAGTCGTCAAAAGACATTTTGGGGTTTGTGAGGCCATCTTCACTATAAGTCTGGAAGACCTTGGTGGAACAGTAAAAATACCTCACATGTCCACGCTGATAAAAAAAAATTGACAGAGGAACCATCAGAGGTATCGGGACTTGGGCTGACCACAGGAAATACATGTTTTTGTCTGCTTCTGCTGCTGCCACTGTTGTTGTTGTTGTTGTTGTTGTTGTTGTGGCCCCGCTAGCTGCTGTTGCTGCTTTTCCAAGACGCCCAGGACCATTCTCTCTATCGCATCTTTAGTCAGAGGGACGTCTTGGGTTGGCAAGGACGGTGGATTGACAACAGCAGGTGGCAGGGCTGTGACTGGGACACTGATTGTGTCACTTCCCACAGTTAGCCACTGCCACAGTTGTGGTGTCTTAAGGAGCTTCTCAGGGCTGGTTCAGTGAGGAGCCAGTCTTGATAAGCCCAGTTTGTGCACCTCACTGGGTGAGGCTGTCAGGGACAGTGGTGGAGTGCATGGCAGATCTAAAAGAGAGATGCACAAAGTGACAATAAATATACAGCGCAACAACGCGTTTGTGAGTGACTGAGTGAGTGAGAGTAGGTGAGAGACTGCATGTGTATGTAATATAATTTTGAATTACCTGTATCCATTAGGGGCTCCTCAAAAGTTTCTCTCTTCACGACCAGTGTAGCAGGAACTGGTGCAGCTGGTAAATTAAATACCACAGCAGAGGACTGCTGTGACTGCATCTGAACTGCTGGGGGTGGCAGATCTAAAAGAGAGATGCACAATTTTCTTAAGTGACAATAATCACACAACTAAACTGTGTGAGTGAGGTGTAAGTGATTGAGCATGTAATAGTGAAGGGGGAGAAAAAAATAATGATAGTTACATATCGGGAAATTATGTTTGCACTAGTCAGCTGTACTGGTTTCAAAACTCATGTATTTTTCCTTCATAGGTTGTTCTCTATCTACTTTTTAAATAGTTAGCCAATTAGTTTTTAGCACTTTTATTTCCATGACTGATCAAACTCATTTTCTCATGGCTCTCTCGACGCTCTACATTAGACATATGGTGGGCAATATGTTTGGAACATCGAATCGCAATAAATATAGAATCGCAACAGATATCGTATTTGCACCTAAGTATAGTCATAATATCATATAATGTGGTCCCTGGCAATTCCCAGCCCTACAATGTAATTCATGTTGAATTGCCTGTATCCATTAGGGGCTCCTCAAAAGTTTCTCTCTTCACGGCCAGTGTAGCAGGAACTGGTGCAGCTGGTAAATTAAATACCACAGCAGAGGACTGCTGTGACTGCAGCTGAACTGCTGGGGGTGGCAGATCTAAAAGTGAGAGGCACAATTTTCTTACGTTTCAATAATTACACAACTAAACTGAATGAGTGGGGTGTAAGTGATTGAGAATGTGTGCGTGACTGTGAGCATACATGTATGTAAACGTGTGTGATAATAAATTACCTGTCACTGCCAGTGTAGCAGGGTTATGGGGCTAAAATACACTACATGGCCAGTCGAACAACTCATTCCAAAACCATGGGCATTAATATGGAGTTGGTCCCCCTTTGCTGCTAAAACAGCCTCCACTCTTCTGGAAAGGCTTTCCACTAGATGTTGGAACATTGCTGCGGGGACTAGCTTCCATTCAGCCACAAGAGCATTAGTGAGGTCGGTCCCTGATGTTGGGCGATTAGGCCTGGCTCGCAGTCGGCGTTCCAATTCATCCCAAAGGTGTTTGATGGAGTTGAGGTCAGGGCTCTGTGCAGGCCAGTCAAGTTCTTCCACACCGATCTCGACAAACCATTTCTGTATGGACCTCGCTTTGTGCACAGGGGCATTGTCATGCTGAATAGGAAAGGGCATTCCCGCCACTGTTGCCACATAGTTGGAAGCACAGAATTGTCTAGAACAGGGGTGTCAAACTCATTTTAGCTCAGGGGCCACATGGAGGAAAATCTATTCCCAAGTGGGCCGGACCGGAAAAATCATGGTATATATAACTTAAAAACAACAACTTCAGATTGTTTTCTTTGTTTTAATACGATCAACACACAACATAAAGCTGGAGCCTGAGGACAGTGTGTCCAAAATAGTACAAGCACAACATCACTATTAATCATAAAACACGTCAAGTTTATTTGAAAATTCTAAAGAAAAAGAACACAAACACACAATGCCTCAGTGATTAACAGAACTGTTTCACAGATCACAGAACTATATCAGGGGGTCATTTCTCAGGCAAAAATGTAGATAAAAAGAATGAAATCCTGTTCCCCAAACAAGTGCAAGAACCACAGAGTCAAGAATAGGTTAAATATACAAATAAAATAAAATCAATTAAAAACAATAGCACATCAACATAAAAACATATAAACATAAAGCTGGAGCCTGAGGACAGTGTGTCCAAAAGCACAACATCACTATTAATCATAAAACACCTCAAGTTATTTGAAAGTTCTGAGGACAAAGAACACACAAACACACAATGCCTCAGTGATTCACAGAAGTATATCACAGATCACAGAACTATATCAGGGTGTCTCATGTAGCACTTTAAGTGGGGTTGCATAGTTTATTTGACTCCTGATACCTGGCATCTTTTAGCTTTCACCAGCGCATCAATATCAGGCGTCACATCCTGAGTGGCAGCCAACTTCAGGATGTGATTCAAGTGCTTGTGCGTGAGCCTTGAGCGCAGCTTTGTTTTATTTATGCTCATTACAGAGAAAACTTGCTCACAAAGATATGTGGTTCCAAACATGCACAACAGTTTTGCAGCGAGGGCTGTCAAGTTGGGGTAACCTGGCAAGAGATTCTGATTAAATGTGTCCAAGCCAGCTGCGGCAAATTTGCCCTTCAAATCCGAGTCACACTGCAAGTCTATTATTTGGCGAGCAAAAAACGTTGAAGTCTTTCTCCAGTTCACCAAAAATCTGAAAGCGTTGCTCAAACTCCCGTAACAGTCCCGTTATTTTATCTTTGAACCGCTTCATGTCTGCCATATGTTGGGTCGCGCACACATTTTTCAGACAGGGGAAGTGAGCTGCATCACCACCAGCAAGTTGCGTCTCCCACAATGACAGCTTCAACTTGAAAGAACGTATGCTGTCATAATACTGCGTGACAACTTTGTTGCGCCCTTGCAGCTGTTTGTTCAAGTTATTCAGGTGCTCTGTAACATCCACCATAAATGCAAGGTCCTGCATCCATTCTGCGGAATGGAATTCTAACACTGTTCAATTTCTTCTCGTAAATCAAAGAAACGCCTCAGCACCTCGGCTTAACCATCTTACCTCAGTGTGTGTATGGCAGGCCATAGATGTGGTCTTTCTCTCTGAGAAGGCTGTCAAACTGATTTCATTAGCAATGAGGTAGCTAGCTTTCACTGCAGCGTCACTGATGTCTTGGCTGTGAGTAAACACAGACTTGACCTACTTGCTCTGCCCCGGTATAAACAGTTTGCTTGCTTAACACAATTGCTATTGCGCCATCCAGTGGACGCAATTGGAACAGCAGTTTATTTTATTGAAAAATTGCAGCGCATTTTTATACTTTACAAAATCATTTCGCGGGCCGGATTAAACCCGTTTGCGGGCCTGATCCGGCCCGCGGGCCGGACGTTTGACACCCCTGGTCTAGAATGTCATTGTATGCTGTAGCGTTGAGATTTCTCTTCACTGGAACTAAGTGGCCTACCCCGAACCATGAATAACAGCCCCAGACCATTATTCCTCTTCCACGAAACTGTACAGTTGGCACTATGGTTTCGGGCAGGTAGCGTTCTCCTGGCATCCGTCAAACCCGTGATACATCACTCCAGAGAATGCGTTTCCACTGCTCCAGAGTCCAATGGCGGCGAGCTTTACACCACTCAAGCCGACGCTTGGTATTGCGCATGGTGATCTTAGGCTTGTGTGCAGCTGCTCGGCCATGGAAACCCATTTCATGAAGCTCCCGACGAACAGTTCTTGTGCTGACGTTGCTTCCAGAGGCACTTCAGCACTCTGCGGTCCGGTTCTGTGAGGTTGTGTGGCCTACCACTTCGCGGCTGAGCCGTTGTTGCTCCTAGACGTTTCCACTTCACGATAACAGCATTTACAGTTGACCGGGGAAGCTCTAGCAGGGCAGACATTTTATGAACTTGTTGGAAAGGTGGCATCCTAAGACGGTGCCACAAAAGAAAGTCATTGAGCAGTACGTGCCATTCTACTGCCAATGTTTGTCTATGGAGATTGCATGGCTGTGTGCTCGATTTTATACACCCGTCAGCAATGGATGTGGCTGAAATAGCGGAATCCACTAATTTGAAGGGGTTTCCAAATACTTCTGGCCATGTAGTGTAGTTCCAAAGGTGTCCAAAACCGTATTCGCAAGCGAGGATTATTAACGTTTTTAGACAGAGCGTCGGGTCTGTTCACATATTGGCCAGCCGCGGCGCACATAATTGTACTGATGGGAACTCAAAGGCTGTGGGCCGTTATAGGCTACAACTCAAGGCGTCATAAAACAAATGCACCCTCCTCTCCAACGTTACGAATATTTTCTAATTACCCTCCCCTTGTACTGTAACAAAAACAATTGCACGCCCTACACTCAAATAATTCACTAATAATAACTGTAGCGACCCTGTGTTTAGAAACGTGGATATCGACTTTGACACTTCAGCATGCTTTGCTTTTGTGGCACAGTTGATGCCACGCAGGGCTACGGGCCTGAAGGTTGAAGGTTCCCCGACCACCACGCATGAGCTCACTCTCCCTGCCCGTTTCATTTACACTACAGTCAGAGCCGGCTACAGACAATGATCAGCTAGGGGAAAATATGATTTTCAACATTTTGATGCCAAATATATCATTATATAAAATATATGCAACACATCTTTCACCATCAGGTTCTGTACCAATGCACCACACAACCAACAAAGCATACCGACTTCGGGCGCTTCAATATCATGGTTTGCGTTTTCAACACCACAATAAATAGACTATAAACAAACAGAAAATACATCCCTCCCTACCTTGTAGGCCTACCCAGCATCGAAGGATTGGCTTTACAAAACAGATGTCTCTTTCCATTCAACAAATGGCCGCTACACAGTTTGGATTGACATATATATACATACATACATACATACACACAGTACAGAGATGTTTTTAAGTGACTGGGCACAATAAAATCAGGGACTTATTTCCATTGTGGTCCCTATCTTTTTTACATACAGTTGAAGTCAGAAGTTTACATACAACTTAGCCAAATACGTTTAAACTCAGTTTTTCACAATTCCTGACATTTAATCCTAGTAAAAATTCCCCGTCTTAGGTCAGTTAGGATCACCACTTTATTTTAAGAATGTGAAATGTCAGAATAATAGTAGAGAGAATGATTTATTTCAGCTTTTATTTCTTTCATCACATTCCCAGTGGGTCAGAAGTTTACATACACTCAATTAGTATTTGGTAGCATTGCCTTTAAATTGTTTAACTTGGGTCAAACTTTTCGGGTAGCCTTCCACAAGCTTCCCACAATAAGTTGGGTGAATTTTGGCCCACTCCTCCTGACAGAGCTGGTGTAACTGAGTCAGGTTTGTAGGCCTCCTTGCTCGCACACGCTTTTTCAGTTCTGCCCACAAATCTTCTATAGGATTGAGGTCAGGGCTTTGTGATGGCCACTCCAATACCTTGACTTTGTTGTCCTTAAGCCATTTTGCCACAACTCTGGAAGTATGCTTGGGGTCATTGTCCATTTG